CAAAAAAAAGGAAAAAAGAAAAAGAAGAGAAAGCAGGTTCTGACCCTAAAATGATGGGCACGCCTAGACTATTCAATCATTGGGAACACCTCGATTATCCAATCAGATATCTCCTACTAGATTGGGCACACCTCAACTATTTCACAGCATACCTGCTATCCCTCACTGTCAATGAACCAACACTTAGGCAATGAAAAAAATATCGCCTACGCTTTTCATTTCAATTTATGTATCTTTGTTTGACTGTGAACGAAGTTTAAATAAGAATTCTAATACTGTGATCTTTATATACCACAAATATCTTTTGAATGTCTAAAAGATATGATGTCATTCCTATGAGGGAAAAATGAGAATGTCCAACCTGAGAACTTACGAAATATAAAAAGGTGACATTCTTTAATAAATAAAACAAGAAGGTAGCACCCAAGGGTGAGAACGACGAGGTCTCAGGTTCAAATCCAGCGGAGGGGAAAACACTAGGTGCATTTGTTACCTGTTGCATACGTACTATAAGGCATCCACAGGTGCATTTTATACATTTACTAACCTTCCTCTTAACTAGTGAAACAAATCAGCTAACAGAAATTCAAATTTTTCTGCTCAATCTCAATCTTTCAGTACCAAAAAAAAAAAAGGAAAATAGAAGAGAAAAAGCAGAGAGGATTGTTTTTGCGTCTTGAGATAAAACTAGATTTAGGAGGGATAGACATCACAATTTTTTGCAGCAACAAGGATGTATAAAGAACATAGAAGCAATTGCCATGGGGAATGACTCACTTTCCTGGTCAAGTTCAATAACTTTGAAAGTAGCACCAAGTTGGGAAAGAAGCTGCTTCACCCTCGTGCAATACCCGCAATATGTTTTACTGCACGAAGAAAAAGCAATTAAACAGCATGGAGTCATTAATAAACATAAACTTCCTATCACAAATGAGACAAACCGGGAGCTCATTCAGAACAATTAAATGTTGTATATATGAAGGTTAAAGAAATGGCCTGTAACCTTATACAGTGAAGATCATCCTGATATTTTCAATGCTAGAAAAAAAAGATCGTTTTCCTAAAATTCCCCTTTCCTCTCCCGAATCTTGCAATAAATAAAAAATAGGCTAAATTCCCAATAAACCAGTTCATATTCCCCAATTTTTTTTAAAACATAAAAAACCAAATTGGAAAAGTAAAATATTCCTCTTTTTATTACTAATAGTTTTAATATTGAAACTGAAATCAAGATAGAAACCCCAGAAAAAGTAGGTAATTATACCTGAAGACGACGACGGGGTTAGAGGAAACGATCTGTTTGGCTTTGGTAAGGGCCATCTCCATTTGTTCTTTGCTAATCTGAGGTGAACTGAACATTGATCCCATTGGGTCTTTCCTTTATATACAGTAAGTATACAAAGAGATGAAGGATTTTAAGTGCTTGTTGTTTGAAAGATGGCACAGGTGGCTTCTTCTTCCCTCGTTTTCAGTGCCACCCCAATTTTCTCCTGCGGTGAAATTTGGAAACTTTGATACTGCTTTTGACATTTTGATCAAGAAAAGGGAGATGGCATCTAATAGCAATTTGTTTTTTCAAAAATGCTTTTTGAGTAGTAGAAATAGTTTTTGTTTGGCCAATTAATTTAAAAAATATTTTTGAGCACCAGTTATTGTTTAGCCAGTATATTTCTCAAAATTATTTTTTCTGCAGTATATTTCTCAAAATTACTTTTAGGTTGAAGCTACTTTTTTCTGTTAAACTGTCAAAAACATTTTTTTTTCCTTCAAAACATGGTATAATTATGTTCTGAATTGCGTTTATTTTATGCATTCACGGCAAAACCCAAGGATTCCAATTTTTTTTTGGGAATTTAAGTCAACACAAAAGATAATAAAAAAATAACTTCCTTTGTTTTTTTATTTCTTTTGCTACTTACTCCTCTGTCCCAATACTTTTGTGCACTTTCACAAGTCAAGTTTAATATCAGTCATATTCATTTTATTTAATATTTATACGTGATTGGTAAATTTTAGACCTTTCATTTGATGTAAATTTATATAGATGATCAGAAAATTTTAAGCTTTTGCACAAGGATTCTTTTCATGTAATTTATCTTTTTTATCTTCTCATTGCAAAAGTGGTTAAAATCTACCAAAGCCAAACTCGACATGAAAGACGAATTAAGATAAAAGTTTTATGACACAGGGAATACTTACATGGAACTTTTCTTTTTGGATTGGCTAATTTTACTTTTCATAGTGCTATTTTATTCCTGAAGAAAGGTGAAAAAGAGTACTATATGAAGCATCTTCCCCCCCCCCCCCCCCAAACCCTCTTTGTTTCAAGGACAATTTATTATCCAATCGAAAGACGAAAAGATTTAGTATAAGACAGAAATATTCAAGTTTTGACATTGACAGCATGCATTTATACTCTAGGGCTATACACTGATACATTCTATTAGTCCAACAATCCTCATTATGGAAATATAACATGAACCTGCAAAGCACATAAGCTCAAAAACAGTCAAGCAGGGCGAATCCAGGATCAACGTGAGTGAGTTCAGAATACGTATACTTTAATTTAAAGCATACAGATACATTGTTACATAGTTAAAGCAACAAGTTCAAACCCGCTTTAGATGTAGTAAAGTAACCAGAATATACTACTCCATTGTATAATGAATAAGATGTTTATGACTTGGAAGCAAAAATAGCTTCTAAATCATTGTACAATCCTCTTGGTTTTGACTTGAAGTCTGCTGATGCATCTATAGATGAGCTCCCACTTCTCTTTGTATTCCAAAATCCGCTCCATCTAACAGTACTTGTTGAGGGATCACTTGGAGCTGCATTACTGTCTTTACTAAAGCTGGATTTTGCTAGTTCTCTTATTCGTCGCATCCATGCTTTGTCACCTGAGCTTCTACTACCAGAACTCCTATTCCTGTCACCAGAAGAAGTAAAATCCCCAGTTTCCTTTAGTCTGTGATCTAACAAAGCAGATCCGCTTTCGAGCTTTCTGATCAATCTTTGAGGAATGAAAAACAAGAGGAATCCAATTGATGCTGCTTTCAGTCCGGAGCAGAAAGAATTGTCATCAGGACCGAGTCGCTTTGTCTGTCTGTATAATGCATACCATTCATTTAGCAGCTGGACCAAAAATGCTATGAAGAAAAGTGCAAGCATGGCGATTCCAATTTCGGTTTCCTTTCTTGATGAATCTCTTTCTAAGAGAACAATGCAAGCAGCAAAAATACCTACTTCGCAAGCAACTGAGATGATCTCAACAAGCTGAACCTTCTTTTTAATGAAAGGCTTCTTCAGAACCATAAAGAATAGCTGGAAAGAAGTGATGCTAAGCAGGACAACTATCGGAGTTTTTGAAGACCACTTCTTCAAATAAGTACCAGCCACAATTCCAAGACAAACACGCTTCACAAATTCAAGAAATGTGAAGTATATTCTTAGAATACCAAACACCTTCTGGATAAAAGGTGCTTCTGCATCTTCCGTCTCATCGTCTGTTGCAATGACTTTGTCATGATGCTTGCTAGGATTTCCTCCTGTAATCTGAGAGAGCATATACTTTGGTGGACCCCTTAGATCCTCAAACAGAGGGCCAAACACGATTAAATATTTAGAATCGCGTGATTTTTTCCATGTCCACTGACCTCTTTTACCAGGACCTAGGGTAACTCGGATTAATTCTTGATACCAATGGAATGTCTGCCCAACTTGGTGTACCTCCTTATACTGAAGAAGCTTCCCTAACGTGATTCCAATAGAGAGGAACAAGAGCAATGCTAGCAGTAGAAATGATACTAAACCCAAAAGTAAAATGCCAACAACAATTCCTGCAGTTGATCCTCCTAGAAGAAAAGAAGAACAAATTTGTGATCTCGTAAACTGGATTTACAAATCTTCGACTGATGCAGAAAGAAACTATAAAATGCGCAGATCCATTCTAGTAGAGAACATTCTTATAGTAAATGATAGATTATCTCCCTACCAAAAGATGTATCTTGATACTAAAAATATTTAGGATCTTAATAAAGCTGTTAAAGAGCTGTAGCCCTAGAGGCTGGATACATTTTTAGATATATGAAACCGTGCCTAATTTCTAATAATTGATGTGGTTTTCTCCTTTTTAAGATTTGCAATAGGACTTATCATCTGCATGTCACGGCTCCTACTCGGGGAGGGGGTGTCAGGAAGAGAGAATGATAAGGTAAACACAACCACGACAATTATGCAGGTAATATCTATTAACTTCGGTAATAATGATCTACTGGCAGCTTTAACTCATCATGACAAAATCTATGCAAATCACAATCTTTCAGAAATCACACACAGTTCTAAGAGCTGTAATGCTTTGAACCTTGTGACCTGGTCAATATCTGATTAAGGTAAGTAGCATCTAACTGTTATAGATAAGTACTGTATTGGGGATCAGTCACTACAGGTATATCTTATCATTTATAAATGTGAAAATTGATGTCTTACAGGTGGAATGCACTCGTTGCAACAGAATGCTATAGGGCATAATGCATAAAGGAGCATCGTGCTTATGAATTGGAAATACCTTTAACTATATTTACTGAGACTTTGCAAATGCAAGGTATAGCCATAATTGAAAGGAAGATCTCAAATCTTGGAAAGACCAAAGCTCCATAACTCCACTTTTTTTCTGTGTCCTTTCTCAGTTTTAAAATAAAAAGGAGCAAAACATGCAGTAATATCAAGCTGCCTCCAATAACGGCTAACCAAAACATGCTTCTGTCGAAATCTCTCCACCTGGAAACAGCAGATGAATTATTCATTTACAGGTGCTAAATCTATCTTTTGCTTAAAAGCTTGAGAAAATTATTTTCAAGTACATGCACTTGATCATCCTTTTCTTTTTTCACTAAAACCTAAGCCCCAATGAATTGGGAAACTAAACACCTTTGATCACTTCAAAAGATGTGATACAGAGACATTTTTCGGTACTTACCCACTTGAATATTGTGGATCCAGGATATACTGAGCTTCCGGATGAAGATTCTGGCTCTGCCATTCAGAAGAGCACTCAACAATGTGATCAGGGAACAAGTATTTAAGTTATGGTGAAAGCTGTGGATTCTAACCTCGAAGATTGACCTATATTCCATAGGACTAAGTGGCAGCCCATATAATCCTGAAGCTTTGTCCACATTGTATTTGTCTGTTTTCATTCCAAAATCATTAATTTTAGAGCCGTATGAATGTGAGTTTGTCGGGGAACTCGGTCCCCTCATGAATGGAAACATGCTTCCAGTTTCCCATGGGAGCCTCATGTAAGGAACACTCCATTGCAGGCCTCTAGCAAATTCGTAGTATTCAACTGGCAATGTAACTGGCAACCATCTCGTCAATGCACATACCTGAATGTGACAAGCTATTCTCTGTTTCAAGACACAAAAAGAAAAGATGTGCATTCAGAACATAATGTTATGGATCAATCAATCTAAGAGTGCTATTTTGATCTCAAAGATTTTGTAAATTTCAATGAACTTAATGGACATAAGATGCGTGGACATTTCCAAAAATGTATTCGTCCACATTAGAGCCTTCTGATATTGCTAGTGAGAGAACATAAACTCTAAACACTACCCAAATAAATCATCAACAGAACTCAATCTTAATGGTATCTATGCCTTATGACCCCTTTTCCTTGGTAGCTCAGTAATGGTAGAGCTGTTGTCTGTTTAAATATTTCCTGCTCCAACCGTTGAAAATAGCAGGTCGACATATTAATTTTTTTTCGGAAATTATGCTGCCAGCACAGAGGTACTAAAACTGGGAGAAAAAGTTATTACTCCGAACTCCACAAAAATAAAAAAGAATCTGACTTGTGACGAGTGATCTTGTCACACTGGAATATTTTTTGGAGAAAGCAAATGATTATTCCCTTCTCATGGTGTTGCTTCCGAGAATACATCTCAGGAACAAAGGACAACTTCATGAGCTTCACTAAGAGCCTTAGAGTTCTAAAATTCAAGATCTTTCATATCTTTCCCCATGTATTTAACAACCAAAGAAGTACCCATATACACTGCAGACCTATACGAGTCTAACATAAAGTTGTTAAGGAAGGGGTATTTACGAAAAGATTTCTAGCAGGATCAGATGTCATAAAAGAGCTTGGTCTTGAGTATGCACCAACAGATTGGAGGCTCGCAGTTGACACAGTGAGGAGCCCTGCTGCAAAAGATGTTACCACGAAAGCAGCAGTTGCAAAGATGGAAAGCACTTGAGATATTGATGGTACAGTATCTGTAAAAGAGTAAAAGGAAATCATACATGATTAAAGCATCATCAAAGCAAAAGAAAGTGACCTTGAGTTTAGAACTATCGAATATTACAGTGCAGGAGCTGGAGAACATTAGATTGCAGGTTCCTATTTCCAGCAACATCACCAGTTACATTTTCCGGGATGCTCACAGAAACAAAATCTTCTCTGGCTTGTATATTGACAACGTATATGCTTCTACTCATTTCTTGAAAACTGGAAATACATAAGAAACATTAAATCAACGAGCCATGATTGGTACACGATAGTAGTAATGATGTTATTTTCTTCATAACTTGCTAAGGAACAAGCTTTATTTTACAGGAGAATCTTTTGACCGAGGAAGATCAGTATACAAGGAGATGCTAACCTCTGCAAATGTCCTCCAATGATGGACACATGTGAAGAATTAAATCCAAACACAGGCTTAACGAACTTTATCCATACAGGAATTTGCTCTTCACAAGTTCTCATCCTAGATGTTGTGCTCAAGCTGACAGCAGGCCGTTGCATATCTGAAGGTCCAATGAACAATTATATTTTGGAGAAACAAAATAACTAGCATATCATACATTACCATGCAATCACATATCATCCACATGTCAATTCAGCAGGCGAGAAGTAGAGGCATTCTCCTTTCTTAACAAGGAGTCAAACATACCGTATAGAAAAGTAACTGGAGTTACTGGAGCAACGGAGGTTCCCTGTCTGCTCAATATGAAGCTTGATCTTAGGCTCAATGTGACTATTGCCGTCTGTGATATGCCTTTAACCTGGAAATGAACCAAAGAAAATGTATTACTTAAAAGAAGTGCAATGGAATATCAAATTGCATTTAAAAATTGGAAAGAACTAACCTGAAAGCCAAATCTACGTTCTCCCAAACTATTTCCACTAATGGGAGTAACCAACCCCTGACTTATGTTCAGGGAATTCAAAATTTCAGTAGATGAGTTGACAATAGGTTCTGTAAAGTACAAATACACCTTCATGTTCTCAGTTCTATTGGTAGCTAGCACTGTTCTCGTTTCTCTGTCAATCTGTAGTAGCCTTTCAGGTATTTGAGTCCTTATGTCAACGGACACTGTTCTTCTATCTGTTGAATCCAGTATCAAAGAGACTGGAGTCAGTCTATATTGATCGGCACAGAGTTAATTGTTGATTGTTAATCAATTATCTTTATACACTAGGATTCGTTTCTCCAGTATATTCATATTAAGATATCACATATTAGAATTTGTTTCAATTGTCATAGAAAGAAAGACGTCTCTTTGGATCATGAAAATGACAGGGCCTTCTAGAACAATAATATAACTCTGAAACAGAAAATCTGATTTAAATAGGATCATCTCTTAAAGAACTGATATCAACATGATAAAGGTAAGGCAACTGACTCACCAAAATGTATAAATATTCTTGAATTTTCTGTCCTTTTAAATTTGTTTCCAGCAGAGTCTGAACAGAAGTTTTTATCCATTACCACGACCACTCTTCCATACTGATCACGTGTAGACAGACTCACGACAACAGAAAATTTAAGGTCTGGCTCAACAACTTTGAGTGTGTTTGGCACGATCTGTCCAGGGCCATAAACAAGAAGCTGCAAAAAGAACACAATTGATAACTAGGTTTTGAGATGAAGAGATAACGAAAAAGAAATTTCCATGAACCCTAGATCCCCTACACAACTCTTTCCATTACAAGTACAATTTTGAGAATGTTTGCAGAGGTGAACTTCAACTAACGAAGCCAAAGGTCGAAAACTTTAAAGAAAAGATACTTAGACATTATAAGAAACCAAGCTGTCATGCAAAAGACTTCCCATTGCCAATATATTTAGCTTCTCATATACTTACATTGCAGGAATTCGTGGAAGAGCATCCAAAACCACCGTGGGTCCAACATGGCTCGCTGAAAGATATGTTCACTGAAACATTTGAAGCATTCGTAAAAGATGTCGGTGCAGTAATGTAGGCTGTAGGAGGAATAGTGTCTGCAGAAGAGTAGGGACATGAAATCAGGAAGTGAAACCATGAATGAATTTTAACTTTACCAACAGTTACAACTAGACTTGAGTCTCAAACACAAACACAAATACATCATGCTTAGAAAAGACCAAGAATATTTTCTACCTGTCTACAAATTGGAAGGCAGCTGAAATAAAAACAAAAATTGATGATAACTGTGCTAGGAGGCCTAAACAAGGTGAAAATTGGAACATGTAGCCTCTTTATTCGAAGTTTGAGCAAATGTCTTAAAATGGTTGAAAGATACAATAACAACAACAGCAAAAAACCCAACGTAATCCCACTAGTGGGGTCTGGGGAGGGTAGAGTGTATGCAGACCTTACCCCTACCTGAAGAAGGTAGAGAGGCTGCTTCTGGAAGACCCTCGACTCAGGAAAGAAAGAGAGGAAGGATATTACATGGAAATAAAAGTTTACCTTGTCTTTATGTTACAAAGGGTTCCAAATCTATCTGGATAATAAGAAGAAAGGGGCAAGCTAAAACATACTCCGAACAGGTTGCTGGATTGAAGTAGTACAATATACATCAGCCCTCCAGCTGCGGAGGGTGTTCGATTCCCACATTCTGGGCAAATAAAGAGACAGAGAGAGGGAGACTGTGAGATCAATCTCCATTGGCATTTGAGTGTAGGAAATGATCCAGAGCTCCCTCATTTACATTCTCTCCACTATTTGGTAATCTCTCCCCAACATATGTAATAGCTAACTATCTTGAACAAAGAAGGCCCAGAAACAACAAAAACAACTTAAGCCTTAACGACAGAAGTCAAAAGTACACCACAGAAGATAGTGGTCATTTTTATGTGCGCTAAGTGGTAATTAAGTATCATGAACTACTAGGGTGGCACCAAGACCATGAAAAGAAGAAAAGGTTGAGTGCTACCAACAGTCCAGTTATAACGAGCGCATCCGACTCCATGAGATCCGTTGGTGCAAACTTCAAATGTATGATTTCCATCTAACAACCGTGTGTATAAAATTTCTCCGCTTTCACAAACAGAAGACTTGTGATCATCCAGCTACAGCAACAGTAAATGTAGAATTAATTAGTGGTGTAACGAAGCACAAAAAACTAAATGAATAGAAAAATTATCAAGTGGAGAATATAAAAAGTGAAACTCAATGAATATAGAACAATCTTCATGGACCTTAGGGACCAAGAGAATGTATCTTTTAAAATTTGCATTTTCCTTGACGGGTACTTTTCAATATATTCTATGGAGATGTTATACCAGAAATATTTCCAAACAAATTTTGGATGATAATAGGGAGATGCTTACACATTCATGTACAACATAGATATTTTTCCAGAGGCATGCATAACATCAAGTGACGGAGATGACACCTTAGGCCTCAAGTTTATCGTTGTAAGGTATAATTTGACAGTAAGATGGCCCTTTTCTAGAATATTACTAATAATTTAGATGGAAGTCTGTTGACAAGAGGGAAATAGCATGAAGATGGCTTCTATGAGCTCACTGATCCTCATCTTAGATACAAATAACACCGATGCACTGAACCCCTTCTCTTCTTCTGTTTTTTCTCCTTAAACTAACGTGGTAAAGTTAGTGCTTGCATTGGACTCTTATCTACTATAGACAACTAGATATGTGAAACAGATTACTGATAATGTTGAATTCGAATTTTCCTACGCTTGTGTCTTTAAGTTAAATACTGAAAAAGAGTTCCAAATCCTATATGTTTAAGTATGCCCAAACTTTGAGTAAAATTAACCAAATTAGGCAATCCCATGAAATTGGCTTTTGCCGTTGAGAGGTGAAGTAGGAAACGGAAAACAGATTCCTTTAAGGAATAGCTACAGCATATTCTTAGTGCATTCAATTAGCAGCATGGATCTGGTTGAATATTTGGATATTGTTTTTTCCTAGACATTCAGATTTAAGTCATTACAGTCACTCTCACATGCTTTGATCCTAAAGCCTGAGAACATGACGACCATCAAAATTCTCATAACTTGATACATGCAAATTCAAGGCCACTCCCCATTTTGTCTCTTAGAGAAACTCCTAATTTGCAGCAAATGGTAATAAGGGCGTGCATGTGCTTTGCATAAAAAGAACAACTCGATGATATTTAACTGTACTATAGCATGCAAACTGACCTTGCAATAAGTGGAGCAGTCCGCACAAATGTCACCATTGCCGCTCACCAAAACTTGAAAAGCAAATTTAGCAAAATTCCAGTTTGAGAATGCGCGAGGTGTCCTCAGTAACTTCAAAGAAACCTCTGAGCCATCACAGTGTACTCTGAAACTCAGAACAAGGAAAACCCAAGAGAGCAAAATCAGCGATGAAGATTTTTCTCGACCCATTTAACAAGAATTACATCTCACCCGATTGAATAAGTACTTCAAGAATGTGTAAATAAAAAAAGCAAGAAAAATTGTTTGTATTTGTATGGCACGAAAATATGTAAAAGAGGCCAAAGGAAAAAAAAAAATGTAGCAACTTAGAGGAGGAACAGGGGAAATGGGTATTAGTGGTGGAAGTTGAATGAAGGCTTTGTGTTGAAGATATAACACATGAGACTGAGAGTGCAACTGTGAGAGTGAGTGAAGATAAATAAGAGAGAGGAAAAAGATTCCAAACGGGCAAAAAATTGCGCAATAAATGAACACAAATGACAGGGACGTGAGTTGCCATTTGTCTATGAATATGAGATGAGAGAGAGAGAGTTCTAAGCATTTTAATGCAGTTCGAGAAAATGATGAATTCTGCTACAGGACAATACCATCGTCGAACTCTCCATTTGCGGAAATTTAGCCTGTTAGGGACCTCTTCTGGAGCTCGTAATGAATAGTGTGTATTGTGTTTCTTCAGTGTCTTCAAAATTAATAAGCAAGACACTTAACCTACCGGGGAGGGAGCAATGGTAAAGTTGTCATGGTATAAGTTCAGTCGTAAAATCAGTCATTAGTGTCTACATTAAGATAGACTGCCTATATCACACCTTTTAGGGTGTAATCCTGTAGGATACTTCATGCACTGTACTACCTTTTTTAGGCCTACCAAAAGTTACAATTCCGTAGTTCGGTAAAGTGTAAAGTTAAATTCTTACATCTCATTCCTTAGTTACAAGGAATCCGGAACCAAAGTATGGTTCATTTGGACCGAAGAGACACAAATAGGTTAAAAAAAACTGGGCACCGTTTTATATATAGCGCGGTTATTCGCCGCGCTATACCTTAACGATAATTTTGTCCGTTAAGGTATAGCGTTGTGAATAACCGCACTATATATAAAATGTGGTCCCACTAATAATTCACATGCACTTAACTGACCCACCAATAATTTATATGAGTATAACACCTATTATGCATGCGCTATACATCCACTAATTGTACCACCGGACTAGGTTTTTTCTTATTTAAGGAGGTTCTGAATTTGGTAAAAATCCATAAATCCATTCAGCATCTTTCAAGTTTTCCGAAATATTTGTTTCGTTAAGTTATTTTGCATTTTGTCATAATGTCCGAAGAGCGAAAAAGTAGAGTTTTATTATATTGGGGGTGAGGTTGTGGCGGAGAATAACTCAGTATGTTATAGTTGTTCTCCATAGTATCATGTTAAGTTGCCACTTACAATGGAGTACGATAGATTGGTATCGTTGTTCTGTAAAAAAAATGAGTGTGACCAAACGTTCGGTGAATATTAAAGTAACCGGAAGATATCTGTATTTTGTTACTCCGCAAAGGGCTGCTTGGTATGCTGAGTTTAACATCGAAGACGATGAAACTCTGATATATTTTTTGTGGACTCCGGATGAACACCGGAAACTTCTTGTGATAAAAATATTGGAAATGTACGTCAATGCGGAAGATATTCGCAATAATGAGGTTTCGCAAAGTAGGGATATTCCTCAATCATCGGGTGGTTATTTTGGAGCAGTTTTAGCCAAACAGGTTCCGGGTGAAAGAGTTTGGCCTGATCTAAACTCATCTCCATGGGCGAATGAGGACCGAGGACATAATTTCTCCCCAAGTTTACATAATCCACAAGCCGAGTGGTAAACTTCAATTTTTCTTTGTGTTACGATGTTTATTTTTATGTATTGAATTTGTATTAATACTCATATATTTCACAGGGGGTACCGGCCAGATATGAATTTTATAAGTTATGAACCAACGGATAGTTGGAATATGGCTAGTTTTGGTGTGTTGGATGACTAGATCATGGTGGTCCATCCGAGAGTCATCACCAACAGGATAGTGTGCATCATGGGATATCAACACATTATGATTTGTAAGTGAAGTGATAAAATTTATGTGTAAAGTTTGGATGAATTTGAAAAACTCATTATTTTATTGGTTGTGCAGTAAAAACGAGCAACTTGAAGGTCCTGTCCTTACTCAATTGCCCGAAGATGACATATTTAATCGGGATCTGGTAGATGCACAAAGTCAGAAAGATAATAGTGATTATGACAACAATGCTGATGAGTCTGGAGATGACACACGCTTCTATAATGAGGGTGATGATGATGAGGCCGAGAATGATGAACCTGATTTGACGAGGGAGCATGCTCCACCTCCCGTTAGACCAAGAGTGTACGAGTCCCATGTGTCATTTCATTCAAGGGAGATTCTCTACCTTGATCAGTTGCCAAGTATGTCGGATGTAGATACCCTCACAAGGGATCTTGATGAAATTCGAACAACAATGTGGGATGAATCTAGAGCAACAGTGTTGTCAAAGGGCATGCTTTTTGCTGATAAAGTGCGCCTGAGCAGGGCGGTGCGAATGTACATCATAAAAGAGTATCGTGAGATTGTGGTTCATGAGTCATCTCCGGATGTATACAAGGTTATTTATCGTAGATGGTTTTAAGGTAGTAATTGGATGCTGCATTAGAGAAAGTTGAAAACAAATATATGGATTATGGGTAAATAAATTGGCACCCACAATTGTGAAATGGACACATTCAGTGGGAATCATTTTAACTTAAATGTTGACTTGATTTCTCTTGTGTTGATTTCACACATTGAAGCATCCATAAGGTACAAGATCAAAGAGTGTATAACATCTATCCACCAGGTATATGGGTGTACCATTACCAAAAGAAAGGTATTTCTCGAGCGCAAACGTGCGTTTGAAATTGTTTATGGTAACTGGGATAAGTCCTTTGCATATCTACCCAGGTACATGGCCGCATTAAAATACTTTAACTCCGGGACTGTTATTGAATGGAAGCTTGAGCGAAGCCCGGGAATACCGGAACACATATTCATATATGTGTTCTGGGCATTTAAACCAGCCATTGATAGTTTTGTGCATTGTCGGCATGTAATATCCATAGACGGCACTCATGTCTATGGAAAGTACGATATTAAGTTGTTGATCATCGTTGCAGTAGATGCTAATGGAAGTATATTTCCCCTAGCATTTGCTATTTGTGCCAATGAAAGCTAAGAGACGTGGACATTGTTTTTGAACCACTTGAAGGAGCACGTTATCAGACAACATTCAGGTATTTGTCTAATATCTGATCGTCATGGTGGTATTTTAAGTTATGTACATAATTTGTGTGTATGGCAGGAACCATATGCCTACCACCGTTACTGTGTTAAGAACTTGAAGGCCAACTTCCAAAGAGCTTATCCTAATAAGGACTTGCGTGATTTAATGTGGATGGCTGCAACAGATCACCAAGAGTGTAAATTCAGGAGGCGAATGAAATTGATCAGGCAGGAAGACCCAGAAGCCTATCGTTGGTTGATGCGACATGAGCTTAACAAGTGAACTTTGTATGCGGATGGTAGTAGAAGATGGGGAATTCTGACTACAAATGTGTTAGAGTCTTTCAATGGGTTATTGAAGTCTACACGTGGATTGCCAATCACTGCCATAGTGCGGATGTCATTCAAGCAGATAGCGGAGAGGTTTGTTGAAAGATCTAGAGGTGCATCATCATTGATGAAAAGAGGTGTTGAATTTATGCCACAACCAATGAAACGATTTGAGAAATATAGGAAGCGAGCACAATGGTATTCATTTTTGCAGTATTGCAGCGAGCAAAATAATTTTGAAGTTCGCACTGGTCTGCATCAAAATTGTGGGAATAATACACACACCGTCAATGAAGCCAGAAGATTATGCTCCTGTGGAAAATGGTCAATCTATCACTTGCCATGCTCACATGCCATGATATGCTTTCAACATACAGGTTTCGCGGCAACGAGGTACGTTGATAAAGAATATAGTATTGCTGCATACTTAAACACCTACAGTGGATAGTTGCAACCAGTGGGTAATGAGCATTATTGGCTGCCAGAACCATTTAAAATAGTGTGTAACAAGGATTATGTGCATCAACGGCAAGTGCAAAAAAGAACGCGTATACGAAACCAAATGGATGTTGGTGACACCGTTTATGCGCGTAAATATGGCATATGTTCTCAAACAAGACACGACCACCGTAAATGTCCTTCAACTGGTTTTGAAAGCGGTGGTAATTCAGCACCAGGTGGCAGTTCATCCAATGTGCCCAATTATCAAGGATAAATGTAGTGTTTTATTGGAGTAATTTTGTTGTACTAAAGTTATGTAAATGTTCAGGTTGCAAAATGTATGAAATAAAATTATGTTTCCAATGGGGTTAAATCTAATTATTATTTAGAATTAAAGATTCAATTCAACAGTTTAACATACAGCCCAAGGAATAAAAAAAAAATTCATTCGCCATTATCGTCGCTGTCTGGCACTATTTCGTTGTCACTGTCTTCATCTTCTTCGTCAACATCTTGTACGCACCCTTCGGGATCAAGGGCATCGTAATCTAGGCCCTAGTTGACACACATTTCTCGTATTTCATCGCTATTATCAATAAGACCACTTGCTTGATTTCTACAATAATATAGGACTCCTACATCCAACGTCTGTAGTAGAAACTTAGGTAGTCCCTACCACTCGACAACTGTTGGGAAAACATGATACTCATTGTCTCTATGCAATTTTTCATTTTCCAATAAATCCCAGTACTAATCCTCCGTTCCTTCCAGGTAGTTAAGATCATCGATAGCATGATGAACAACAAATGCCTTTTCCATCTCTAGAATCTCCTTCATCAAATGCCGAATCACTTATGGTTCATCTTTGTGTGTGTTTGTTTGGAAGGTTGCAGACAGTGCTTGTGGTAGAACAAGCCCATGCCAGTAACATAGTACTTCATAATCACACCGTTTTGAGTAAAAGGGAACCCATTGTAGTTTTTCGCCCCAAATTCACATACCTTCAGGCTTTGTAGAATGCGCTTCGCTCTCAATAATGTGCCCTGCAACTTTTAGATCTATGTGTATATTGATAGGCTTATTTTCCAAGGGATGCAGAACACCATACCACTTGTCATCAACCAAATCAGTATAGCAACCTAACATATTTTTTTCAAGGTAGGGATCGATTGTGTTATGACGTGTTCCATTTGGATCTTTTGAACTACCTTCACGTTTTTGCCTCTTCGTAAACCACTTATTAAATGTTAGTGGCATTTCTGAATTGGATGTTGTTCTGGTTCTTCAAATGGTATCTGTGTATTGATCTCTTGGTTCAACTTAAGAAGA